TCTTATAACAGATGAGAAACGAAAGGATAAATCGAAAGCAACAATCACCTTTTAAAACATTTTCATTAACAAAAAAACCTTATTCTTATAAGGCTAGTATTAGAAATAAATTGGTCATTACCATACAAATGACATGATGAATAATAATAAATCTCACAGAAACTTACTGTCAGCAAATTGTTTTCTACAGATCTGACATGCAGTCACCTCCAGCTCTTTTTGTGGTTTAATCTTCTTGTCTCCATGCTTCAATGTTTTATCTGAATGAATCCTTTCTTTGTGGTATTTCAAGCTTCGCTCACTAACAAATAGTTTACCACAGATATCACATCTTAATTTATCTTGCTGCTCAGATATATTTCCTAATTCAAACATCTCAAATCTATCCAAACATCTTCTTTGCCGAAAGTTATAGTTGGTAGATTTGCCTTTTATTGTGGTATCTACACTTGGAATGTCATCTTTATTGACACCATCTACACAAGAATTTTGTTTTACACTACCATTACAATTATCTTGTATATTCATTAAGAAGTTATTAGGTATACTTTCTATTTGGTAAGTTTCATGGTTTGAATCTGAAAGACTTGATTTCATTTCAGCATTATCTAATCCTGAGATTTGAACATGCTCTTTTTCTTGAACTGATTTACTGCTGTCTAATTTTTCCACTGAGTTTTCAAGTATGACATTTTTATCATTACTGTATTTTTGTTCTGCTTCTCCTTTATCATAACTACATGTGGCATCTACAGGTTTACCTTCTGGCTGATTGAATGTATAATTGTGATAATCATCACTGCTTATCATCCTTCTTATTTCATTATGATCTGTATCTTCAAGCTCAATGCTACAAGATATTTCATATGAATCATTTCTGACAATTTTATTTGACTTTTCAGTATTCATACTATTGTCTGAACATTTCATTTTTTGTGTTTTGCAAATTCCTTCTGTGTGCTTTTCTGTTATAAACAAAAAATATATAGTTTTTTAAAACAAAATGTATATTATAACAACAAGATCCATTCCATTTACATTGATTTAAAACTGCATTATATTATTTTTACTTCTTTGTATGATTTTAAGTATTGTACTTACTGCATTTCACTATTGTATCCAAAGCAAGTTCTTCCTGTTTTATTATCAAATCAATGAAATACCATAAATCTTGATGGACACCTACAAATACAATAAGACTGGTTTTCAAAGGTATTTTGAAATCTACTAGTCATAACATTATAGTTATATTGCTGATAAATTAAGTTTGTGATGAAGTACTAGCATATTCACAGGCCTCCATTTACTTTGCATAGTAGAGCTAAAAGGGTACATCTTTCTTCAAGTACTTTCTAAATCAATTTCAAACAGCATATTTTACATGTACTTTTACATTAAACAATAGCAACATTATCTTTATTGTTATTTCATTGAAAATAATGATCAAAACTGTTTTTCAACAATCTTACGTTTGAAAGTACCAATCTTCCACTCAGATTGCTTTATGAGTTTCCGAAGTTCTTCCTCTTTTTCTGATGTGAGGTAGATGATGTATGGTCTAAACAGCTCACCCATTTCTGTACTGGTAAAATAAAAGATAAACATTATGGTAAAATAAGAAATCATAATAACATTAACACCACTTTTTAATCAAATTAACCAAATTATCCCCCTCTGGGAACATTTTGCATTGCAAGTTCTATATCCATAAACATATATAAAACACATGTAACTTTAAAAATATCAATGCTTTCTGTCATTATTAAAGATGAGTGAAAGAATCAAACAAACAAACAAATGCAAACAAATTGTAACAAATACATGTAGTATACATATACCCACACTCTGTTCATCAATATCTAATTTGGTAAACAAAGAACATAATGGAATGTATGGAATTACATAGAGGATATTTGTTTGTTTTGCATGTAAGATTGAAATATAATTTCACTGAGTGAACACCAGATGCAAATATTTTCACGAGTGGCGTAGCCACGAGTGAAAATATAATAGCTGGTGTTCACGAATGAAATATATTTCAATCTTATATGTAAAACAAATAAATTTTCTTTTTATTTCATGCTTTTTAAGTGATTTTAAGTATTTTTTACTGATTTTGCCGCGTAACGTCGCGCATTCTCCTTTGTGACGTCATCACATCATGACGTCACATCATTAATTTTGAAATATAGTTCTGTTAAATTTCTCTAATTTTGTTACATTTTTAACATGATGTATGGTGACATCGACTTTCTTTTCCTAAAGAAGCAAAATTTACGCATGACAGCATTTATTTCTGCCTGTTATTCCATTTAGTTATGATTTTCTTTTCATCCGCATTCAGATATAGTCCGGCTACAGTGAAAATTATATTTTATAAATTTCACTAGTGGTTTATCAGAATATAATCATCTGATATATTACAATAAAACACTGGAAAGCATGAAATAAAAATATATACTGCCGCCTCATATTTCTGTGGTACTTAACTGTTTAACACAGACAACAAAAGTTAGAAGAATAAAATTCTGGAAAATATTTTGAATAATGTAGGAAAGACATGCAAATTACATCATAGTTTATTCCTTTTAATGTTTGCATGTAAACAATTATGTACACAACATGGCAATTAACCCCCATATGCTGCCTAGTGAGTAAAGTTGTGTTCTCATATTTCCAAGGCAATTACATTTTAACAGTTTCAAAAGCAAAAGCAATAGTAATCTTTATTTTTTAGTACATCTATACCTAGCCTTGTCTGAAAGTAATGATTTTCTCTATGGCATTTATCAACTATCTCAATGGTTGTTTTACAAAGACAATTGTCTTAAAAGGTTTAAAAATTAAAAGTTAAATGGTGAAATAATTTACTTTACTCTTAATCTGAATAAAATAATAAGTTTTCTCAGTTGTATATGTTACATTTCAATAAAAATACAGTAAGAAAGTGAAAGTAAAACTCCTGGCAGGTGCATGAAGTCTACGAGGCACTTGGGACCTTATGCCTTTTATGTCTTATATCTTGGAAATATTGGTACCATGGAAATATGAGGCACCAGTATAATGAAAACACAGAAAACAAGAACCGGTTGAACTTGGTGCTGCTTCCCCAGAAGGTTTTTGACACAGGAAAGTATAAAAAAATGAACAAAGGGCAAAAACTCCAAAATTAGGCAAGGCAGAGTTTTGGTTTTTTGCACTGCACTTCTATTCAATGAGATCTATCTATCTATAAAGTTTTGTGATGATATCTATTAAGGTTTCAGAGTTATGTTCCGGGTAAAATTCAAAGAGTTAAAATGAACAAAGGGCAATAACTCCAAAATTAGACAAGGCTGTGTTTAGGTTCTTAAGCATTGCAGTTCTATCCAATGAGATCTATCTACCTACAAAGTTTCGTGTTGATATCTCGTATAGTTTTAGAGTTATGTCCCGAACAAAAGTAAAAAAGTAAAATAAACAAAGGGCAATAACTTCAAAATAAGGCAAGGCAGAGTTATGGTTCTTTAGCACTGCACTTCTATCCAATGAGACCTACAAAGTTTCATGTTGATATCTCTTATAATTTGAGAGTAATGTCCCAGACAAAGTTCAAAATGACAAAATGAACAAAGGAAAATAACTCCAAAATTAGGCAAGACAGCGTTCTGGTTCTTTAACAATGCACTTCTACTCAATGAGATCTATCTACCTACAAAGTTTCATGTTGATACCTCTTATATTTTTAGAGTTATGTCCTAGACAAAGTTCAAAGTGTAAAAATAAACAAAGGGCAATAATTCAAGTATTAGGCAAGGCAGAGATACAGTTCTTGTGCACTGCAAACCTACTCAATGAGATCTATCTATCTGTAAAGTTTCATGTTGATAACTCTTATAGTTTTAGAATTATGTCCCGGACAAAGTTCAAAGTGTAAAAATAAACAAAGGGCAATTATTCATAAGTTAGGCAAGACAGAGTTATGGTTCTTAAGCACTGCACACCTACTAAATGAGATCTATCTACCTACGAGGTTTCATGTTGATACCTCTTGTTGTTTCAAAGTTATGTCCCGGAAAAGAAAAGCGGACGGACGGACGGACTGCCGTTGTAATAGGAGAGTTATAATGTGGCTACTCTTTTGTTCTCTCTATTGTTCTTTTTAACCACACAAAAGAAAATAGCCACATAAAAGCATTACGGAATGAATGACATCAAAGAGAAAGAACAGTTACCTATTGTCCCTCTAGCCACATAATTGTCCTGTGAGTTCCAATGGTCACCTACAGACGGACAAAGTGGCGACTATATGCTCACCCTTCTGGGAGCATAAAAAAACTCACAAAATGATTTATAATAAGTAAACTTAAACAATAGGACAATGATGGCCCTATATTGCTCACCTGGCCATCAATTCCCCAAATGACAGAAATAAATCATATTGATAATTTTATATAGAGAGTTATAGAATCTCTGTCATCTGATATCAAATTTTAATTCAGCATCTAATCTTGTGCATTTGTTCCAAATTTTACAAAATAGATGACTAGATCATCTTTAGGTCAACTATTATCAAAGTTCTGTTTTTGAATTGTGCACATGGTCCAAATGTCTTACATTTATATCAGAGTTCAACTCTATATCTGAAATTTGCACATGTCACAAAAAAACAACACTTAAAAACAGATCACTAGGTCAAAATGTAGGTCAGGCCTAAATAAAATTTCATTTGTTTCCCCTTCCCTACCTACCCAGGGTGTTCACTAGCCATGAAATCCTGAGGGTCATTTTGACTTTGAGTTTTACCGACTACAAGGTCAAATCCCCATGATTTTAACAAAATTTGACCCTCCAGTTAAAATCCTGAGGGTCAAATCAGGCCTTTTAGGAGTTTGAAGGGTCAAAGAGTCATTTCAAGGGTCAAACGGACACCCTGCTACCCAACAAATTTGCCCCTACCCAAAAGATTTTTTCAGATTTTTAGGGGATGAAAGTATTTTTTTTTCTTTCAGAGTACAATGGGTACAATCTAATCTGATATTTTAGACAGCTAGCATAGTTAATAAATTGCTGCATATGTCAGTTGTGAATATGGTAATGCATGTACATATACCATTGCACTTAATAAATTAATTTTAATAGTTCATTATACATATATGCAAATTATTTATTGTTATGCACATATAAAAAATAATTTTCCTACCTACATGTACCTACCCAACCCTAATTTAAATGGGTGGGAAGGGGAACAAACATATTTCTAGTTTTGGCCTCAGCTAATAATCTGAAAATGAAACTGTGTACAAAATAATTGATAAATTTGGTACCCCAGATCATGCCGCATACTAAGGGTTATTGTATGTTTAGATTTCCATAATTTGTGTAACAGTTGAACCAGCAGAATATTTATGCATAACAATCAATTTTTGGTGAGAGAGTGTATTACAAAATAGTTTTTAAGTAAGTATGATTTTTGTATGGGAACTACTCGCATACTAAGGTGGCATCTATATATAGGTGACATTTGCAGGGTTTTTTTATCTTGTGGTCACAACTTATTATCTTGTGGCCTGAAGATAATACCTTGTAGAAATGACTTATTATCTTCAATGTAGCCACAACTTTAAACATGTTAATGTGCGTTCATCAAATTATAATTTTAGATACCAAAATACATTAGATGTACCTAATGTACGCACAACCAATTATGGTAAAAAGAGTTTTCACTTTGAAGCATCTAAAATCTGGAATAGTTTATCTAATGATCACAGATGTACATCTGACTTTAATGAGTTTAAACGACTAATTGAAACATGGAGTAATGACAAGTGTGCCTGCTCTATGTGCATCTAATCTTTTTTCAAGTTTATGTTCTATTTTACTTGATTCCTGTTTTTTGCTTGTAAATAAATTTAGTTATCTTTTCCTTGAATTATGTACTATGTATCAACCCTGTTATACTACCTTCAATAGATATGACTGTATTTTCATTGTAAATGCTCAGGTTTCATTACAATGACTATATGAATTTATTGTATGTATTATTATCTTATGGTGTCTGTTTATTTTTGTTTCTTTGTTTCTTATTATTATTTTCTATATTTTGTTCATGTCGGATACAAGCTTAAAGCTTATGTTTTGTACTGTTAACCATAACCGACTATAAATAGTTTGTCTTACTGCCTTACTTACTGTCTTAACTTCTTATCTTATGGCCTCAAGATATTAACTTGTGGCCATGACTCATTATCTTGTTGTCACAAGGTAATATCTTTCGGCAACAATTTTTTAGCCAATGAAAATAGTCTTAATTTACTTAAATGAAATTTAATATCACACTGACCATAGCTTTTGCTCAAACAGTGAAACGGTGGGTCAAAAGCTGTGGCAGTGGTGCATTCAAATCATCAAAATAAAAAAATACTGCAAATGTCACCTCTATGACAACATACATACCAGTACGGGCCGGTGGGGTGTCCCAATTTGTATATCAACATCACTTAGTCATTAGATCAAAGTTTTTGTGCAAAATATTTTCAATAGATTCTAATTTCTATACAAAAGAAAAAAAAACAATCATACTGGTTGGGGACCACCAGAACCGGACAACCACCAAACCCGGACGGCCCCAAAAATGCTTAATTTAGTAATTTCTTTGTTCAGTGGTTGTTAGTCACTTTTCTATCAACAATAAATGCATGTTTCTTCTAAAATTAAGTAAATAAATTTATTTCAAACTCCGTAAATGGTAATATTTTAATGTCTATTTCAAGAATGTTGACGTTGAGATTTGGGGGTCAAGAAAGAAATGCCTGACCTCATATACAAGCTATAATCATTTGCAGAGTAATCAATAGAATATCCAAAACTTCATCATTTGTTGCTGAAATATTGTTTATCATGTTAAAAATCAAAAATCAAAACACCCAAGCTTTTATCTGAATTAAATCACGTCATGTACTGGCATGCGAGCAGTTCCCGTACAAAAATCGTAGTTACTTAAACATTATTTTTCATTACGCTCACTCACCAAAATTTGAATGTTACACATCAATATTCAGCTCGTCACACAAATCATGGAAATTCCATCATGTTCTAAACATAGTATAACCCTTAGTTATGAGGCCTCATATGGGGTACCGAAATTATCTATTATTTTGTATGAAGAGAAGTAGTTCCCGTACATAAAATTTAACCCATTATAATTATACAATTTTATTATATCGGACCTATTTTTTATTTATAATTGTTGAACAGACCATTTTCTAAGAGATAAATAGATGTAATTCAGGAAATAGAAAGCAGACTAAACGCGTGTATCTATTACCCGGTACCGTTACCCCCAACGCATTCACATGCGATGGCATGCTGTATGCATGATATTTTACGAATCAAAGCCATAAAATTATTTTATATAGTAATATTGGTCAAAATTCTGATAATTAAACAAGTTTTCATCACATTGCCTTCTTATCTGTAAACAAGTGGTATTAGTGGAAAACCCTTTAACATGCCTCACGTGTAAGTATATTTGCGCATGCGCGCAAGGACGGAAATACCCCAGATAAAACAAGGTCACGTTTTGACAACGCACAGGTGAAAGTGATTTAAAATGAGACTTTTTATACGTACTGCCGAACTGACACTTAGATTTTGTCTCGTTTATGTATCTGCTTGATTTTAAATGAGTTTTTGAAGAATGCATGTAAAAATCAAGCGTTTAAATGAAAAATACGGGTACTGCTTCTGTACGGGAACTGCTCGCATGCCAGTACATATCTGTCCGGACACATGGTATCCTGTAGTGTAGACAATTTAGGTAATTTTGATACCCTCCTTGTCGAGCCTCACATATAAGTGTCTATACAATCAGAAATAAACAAACTAGTGTGTTAGTTAGGAGAAGAACCTGGCTGAAATGTGTCAAATTTATTGGTCTCTAGGTTAAAAATTATGAAATCTGTACAGAAAAATGTTCCAAAAGTGTCCGGTTGATGGTCTCCGACCAGTATAGATCTAGCATTCTTTCTTAAAAGTTTCTTGTCAGTACAAAAATATAGAAAACGAGTAGGTCTAGATACTTACTTGAATGAAATTCATAAATAAAAATAAACAGCTAATAAAGACTGTTATTTACAGTGTTAAACGGCCACAAGTTTTGATGTAAGTTTATCAAAGGGAAATAACCTTTTCTGCCGCAACTGTTATAAAAACCTATCAACACACAATGTGAAGCAAAGGGGGGCCACTGCGTAGGTGTTTGCATACCGATTAGGTCAACTGGTGCACACAATATATAAATCTTAACAGACAGTACACAGATGTGTTTAAATTTGATTTGTCACTTATGAGATAATAATACTGCGTTATATAGGTCTAGTCCATAGAATGTGTTTATAATTATAAACTTCTTGTACATCACTTTATTTTTCTGACGGAGATTCTTTTATTCAGTCCTACGCATAAACCAAAGATTTCCAGTTTTCCCCCAAAATTTCCTATCTCTGGCCAGTGATGAGCATGTAATTATAATTATTTTCTAATTCGCTCTGCTTAACCGAAAATAAATTATTTATCACCTAATAAGAGTTGTGAAACCTTCAGTCTTAGGCAGAATAAACAACAACACTCAAGTAGGATAAAGGCCTTCGCATTGTTTCAATATCGTTGTATACAAATCAATACAAATAATAACTGATATTTCTGTGAGTTAGATGGATCCATATATCATAATCTCTGGACATGCAATCATGGAAGCTCACAACCTGCGGAATAAACTATTATATCGATTATTTACAAGTTGATTCAAACAAACAAACACTTTTTCGCTAACAACCAATCAATGGATGCGAAAATATGGCTTAATAAAAACATTACTTTGGGGTGGGCGGGTGGGATACGATGTGTTCAATGCAATGCGAAGTCCTCGAGTGGCGATTTACCCGCCTTTCCATATCAATACCGGCGAGCACGAAATATTCGTGCTAAACTATGTTATACCTCACTTAACCCGGACACAATTATAACTCTTAACCTGCAATAAATACATTTATTTTCTAATTCGCTCTGCTTAACCGAAAATAAATTATTTATCACCTAATAAGAGTTGTGAAACCTTCAGTCTTAGGCAGAATAAACAACAACACTCAAGTAGGATAAAGGCCTTCGCATTGTTTCAATATCGAGAAAAACAAAGAAGGAAAGAGTTATAAACTTTAACCAATTTAATTATAAACGTTCATAATGTCGTAACCAATATACAATATCATAACTTAATTTAGCTATGAAAAAACCTTTTTAAAAATCATAAATTTTGACAAAAAAAAACCAAATTCTTGTACAGTTTTAAAAAATTTTCCCTTACTTCTTTCACAAAACCCCAATTTTTGGGTTTTTCCCCATTTACCAAACCGACCGTGTCGTTTAAAATAGCAAAATCTGGTTTTCCCAAAAATTTTAGAAAGCAGCGTACATCCCCATTTCCCTAAAACTTTTGAATTCCAAATTTCTTACCCTAGACCAAAATTTTTTAAATTTTAAGAAAAACCTCTTTTGGTTCTAGTTAAAAAAAGGTTTAAACCTTTCAAATTATATTTCATTACGAATTTAAAAATCGATACGGGGAACAAATATAAAATTTTTCAGAACTTCTTTCGTAAAAATTTTCCCCATTTAAATTTTTTCAAATACAGTGGACGGGACTGAAATTTAAACCCGGTTTTTAGGTTTAAAAATTTTCCCCTTCTTTAAAAATTTCAGCCCTTAATATTCTCAAAAAAAAATTGAAAAAAACTTCATAAAAACCAAATCAGTTTTTTAAATTTTAAACATTCGGGAAAATTTTAAAAAACCAGCAAACGAAATAAACACATCAACATTTCTTAATTAAATTGTATTTGAATTATGCAAAATAACGAAAAACTTTTGTTTTAAAAATATCAAACGTTTTTGGGCTCTTTCAAAAAAGGGGGAATGCCCGGGACCCGGTGTCCCAGCTTCCTAACCCTTAAACACAAACTTAAAAAAAAGGGATTTAGAATTAAAAAAACCAGTATTTCATGCGCCCTTTTTCACCCCGAAAAAATTTTTTCTTTCAACGAAATTGCGATTTATTATTTTTGAATTAAAAAACTAAGTATAAAACAAAAAACCCAATTTTTAGGCAAGGAATTAGTTTTGTGACTTCCCAAATACCCCAAAATTTTAAATTTCTCTGGAAACATTTTCCGTTTTAAAAAATTTTGGAAATTTAAATAAACTCGGGAAATTTGGAAGCCAGGGAAAAAACCCGGGACCCGTTGAAAATAAAAAACTAATTTTTACCAATGATTTTTTAAATGAAAAAAAGGAGAAAAAATTATTAACTTTGTCCCAAGAATAAAAAAATTAAACAAAAATCCTCGTTTCCCCACAAAACCCCTTTTTCGTTATCAACCCTGGGCAAATACTTTTGACCCTCGATCAATGTTATGTAATCCCATATACCAAAAATTTTAAAAATATCGACCCAAAATGTTTTCCGAAGAAATTCTTACAAAAAAAAATTTGTATTTAAATATAAAACAAAATTTTTTCATTCTTTATGATTTAATATCTTAATAAAAAATTAATAGTCCATTTTTTTTGTTTTTTTAAAGCAACGGTGTGACCCTCGGTCAATGTCATTTAATACCTTAACGGCAAAACACTTGGCCACAGTATCAAAAAAAAAATTCATTAGCGATAGAAATATCTTATTTTAAAAAATTAAATGGAAAACTTGTAATAAAAGTAGAACACAAATCAACTATTTGGGGCATAGTTCTTTGCACACTTTGACCTCTCGGTGCAAAATATCGTTCTAATACTGTACACTAAATACGTGCCGATATTAAACTAAATATTCATTTTGTTATAAAATTATTAATTCTCAAAAGTTAAATATCAAACTTGAAAATAAAGTTATGCGAGCAATCAACTTATTTGCGTAGTTCTTGGCAGCCTTTAATTTTTGGGTCAAGGTGTTTAAAAATACCATATCACCTAATATTGAGCCGAATATCAAACTAAAATTTTCTTTTAACTGATAAAATGTTAATTGTCAAAATTTAAATTTAAAAACTTGAAACAAAATATCTTTTTTACAAAGTTTTGTGAAATTTTGACCTTTAAATGAAAATTTAAACCCATATCGTTTAACCTTCCCGATTACCAAACAAATTTTCATTTTGTGAAAAAATATTAATTATAAAAATTTAATAACAACTTGAAATAAATTGTCAAAGAAACCCTTATTTACACACTGTTCTTTTTTATTAAAAACTACTACTAAGATTTTGCTTAAAATTTTAATAAAACCAAAAATAGTTTTTGGGTTAAAAAAGTCTAAAAATCTGGGAATTTTGGCTTAAAAATGAAAGAATGCCCGAAAATTTTCTTTTTAAAAACCCCTTATTCCCCAAATATCTTTGGCCCAAAAAAGGGGAGCAGACGGCCAAAAATATTTACCAGCCCCCTTTTTTGGCATTACAGTAATTATTTTGGATTAACCCATTTTTAAAAATCATGTTTATCGGTGGAACTAGCCAGTTATTTTCTGCCCAGTCCAAAGAAAAAGCGTCCACACCCTCTGTACCCGGTACCCAACCTAAAAATTGAACCGATCTACCACGTGGTTATAATGATTTGCGAATCTGTCAACCGTATGAGGGCCAAACATAGCGTCAAAGAAAATTGAAAAAAGCCAAAGAAACTCCCCAATCATCTAAATCAAACAGCTTACTCAAATAATCTGCGTACAAATTTTTATCTCTGGGAACCCATTGCATATAAATTGATATTTGATTTTTCAAACACAATTCAAACACTGATAACGATATACTATGTAAATCGGATTTCATACTACCGCTTTCAATTATGGATACACAATTTTGATTATCTGTGCACCATTTGAGTAAACGACCTTTTATCAAAGGGAGAAAACTCTGCAAGGCAAACAATATAGCGGTCATTTCCCGCCAGGTAGAACTGGTATTTTGTTCAAATGGAGACCAATTTCTATGGCAAACGGCGGTCGGATAACCTTGTATGTAAGCTGCGCATGCGTGTTGACTTGCATCAGAATAGATTGTTACTGAACTTATATCAAGATACAAAAACTTTCTAGTCAGCCTTATAGTAAATGCTTTCTCCCAAAACTGTAACTCTGTAATTACTCCTAAATCCGAAACATCTATAACTGAATTCCAACTAATCCTACATTCAATAGCTCTGTGTAAATTTTTGGTCATGAGCTTACACACATTTCCTAATACTGGAATCAGTGAAATAATTTTACCAGTACACCTCGCCATATCTCGCGCAGACACGAAAGGAAATTTACCTATGATAAAGGTAATACACTGTACTACGCTTTTCACACGCCTATCGGGAATTTCTAAAACATTATCCTTTAAATTCCATAATAAGCCTAACCATTCTAAATTTTGAACTGGAGTTAATATCGATTTCTGAGTATTGATCAAAAACCCCGCTTTGATGAGGACATCTTTAACAAAATCAGCATCTTTAAGAGTACATTCCAAACGTTTTAAATTTACTCCCACCCATCATCTAAAAACAAAAACAAAATCTGATTCCCTGAAAGAATGAATTTTAAACAATACATCTTAAACATTTTAGTCCAAATAAACGGTGCCGACGTAACCCCAAATGGTAATACATAAAAAATAAATTTAAGCTTAGCGTTTCTCAAGTCCATAAAATCCCAAAAAAAGTTTGTTGTGCTGTGGGCTATATCTATGTGGTTGATATGCAGATGAAATGTCAAATTTAAACATAAAACCATCCTTTTAACAAATAATCTGAACGGGCAAAAACCTTCCCCAGTCCTCACAAATTTAAAATGTTCATTCTTAACAAATGTATTCATGACACTTAAATCTAAATTAAAGCCTTTTTCCCGAAACTGATTCACAGACACTGAAAGAGGTTTACCAAAAAAGGCTGGAAAGGCACTTCTAACACACAGCCAGACTTAACTAAATCAGCAACTGCGTCAGTTACAAAATCTGAATGGTCAAATGCAGATTTATTATTTTTCATGAAATATGATTGAGGAATATTGTTAAAAGGTATGACGTAACCATTTTTTACTACGTCAAAAATAAAATCAGATGCCTCTAAAACATTACACCAATAATTAGCGTGTAATCTCAGTCTACCTATACGCCCGAATTTA